AGGCGGAATCAGCGGAGCCGACCGGCGGACAACGGGCACGAGAAGATGACTGTCGATGTCCGACATCTTTCTCATCATCGGAGCTAGAAGCAGTGACATCGGAGTCGATGGTCTTTGTCAAATCGGTGATGTGGCAGTGCAACGATGAGCACGTCATTTCATCGTCGGAATCGAAATCCGTAGTGGCCGTGGCAGCGGCGACCACTAAGTCGTTGGTGAAGGACGAGTCGGCCGGCAACAGCTGGATCATCTTTTCGTAGTTCTGGAACTTTTGCAGCAGTGAACTCAGCTCGTCGACCGAAATGCCCCGAAGCGGCTCACACCGAAACTGTTCCCTGCTGAATTGCTCTGCGCCGAACAGCGATTCTAACTGCTGACTGAGTTTCTCGTTGGACATCAACGATCGCAAACGGTTGGTGACGATGGCTTTTGTGGCCGCATCGTCCGCCACTACAAACGGTTGCAATGGCGTTGGGGCGCTCTCCTGCGGTGGTTGCCGACGATGTAACTTCAAGAACTCGCTGAGCTGAAACACAGTCTCGCGGAAAGACCGTTCGTACCTGGCTTCGTTGAAAAACGTCCTCAGTTTAGCCATGCCCTCTTCAGCACGCTTTTGCCTCGAGAACAAAATATGCCACGTTGAAAGGGTCTTGGAATCGCTTGACTTTTCGGATGTACCTGTATTCACGACTAAATCACTGCTAGATGCTTCAGAAGTTTTCGGCTCCTCTTCTTCGGCAGCCGGCCTTATTTCTTCTGCTCTTCCTTCCCCGTCAGTGCTCATCATGAGAAGGAATTCTTAATAATAAAACATTTATACTTTCGTTACGTTAAACGTAGAATGTAAAAACGTTTTTGTCACATTACCCTAAGAAGACAACTTAATTAAAGACTTCAAAGCTGAAGCATATTCAAAACAATCATTTCAATAAAATAAATATACAAGGAGCGTGTCAGATTATGAAATTAAAATAATAAATATCACCCTCTGCACAGATGGAGAAGGTTAAAAATGCTTCTACTCGAAATTTTACAAACCGAAACGGTGAATGTCAGAAATATGCTTCCGCATATCAGCCAGTCAGTTTCTAAGGCCGTTAATCCTTTCGGGTCTTGGGTGCAGCAACATCTGACAATGTTTCTGACCTTCGCGATTATGTACCAGCCTCTGAGCTTCAGCAAAATATAGCATCAGTCTGGAACAATCGCAAACCCCCACTTCTTGCATTGTACCCTTGTCTTTTGTAGGGTATTCGGGCAGTCTGTCGAACAAGTACAAGCCTTCCTTTCTAGAATTCCCAAAATCTAACCAAACCATCGCAGCTGTTACTTCTCAACGCCTGAACATGTCAAATAATGAATGACGTCTAAAAACCGGATTTTCGGCGTATTCCACCGTCTTAACTCCGCCATGGCCGGTCCGAAGCCCGGATGAGAAAGGAGGAGGGTTGGAGACCGTGGCAAGTCTCCGT